GGGGGGAGTGCATGGTTAGAAAATAGAAATGGTCATCACTAACTGTGACACGGCGTGCTCATCCCCAAACACGAAACCGCAGATCCCAAGCTCCTGGATATTGGATCAGTAAGCCAAGCCAAAGCCCAGCCCGAACTCAAGGCGTGCACTATAGAGGCCTGAATGATGATGAAATCGTGTTCCTTAGGGTTCGCTGAACCGCTACTACAACTCTGAAAGCGACGCAAGCCCCCCCGAAAACAACACATCCCAGCTAAGGCTCGGAAAGGTGACGGAAAAGCCAGCGAAGGCAATGCCTCCGGCAGGGATGGGACAGCGAACCCTGACCAGTCAAAGCCCCAAACATCCGCGACTCGAAATGCCCCGAAACCGAGCTGCGGGCTCTAAGACTAGTGGGCTTGGGATTCGAATTAGCAGATATTAGCAGCCTAGGCTTCCAGGTAGGTCTGTCTGGTTAGGGACCGTTAGGTTATGCGCCTCGCGGGTGTTTGACCGAAAGAACCACACCACACTGAATCCTCCACCCAGAGTGCAAGATGCGAGCCTACAACGCAAGCAGCAAAATCTCGCCATACACAAACCGCACAACCCTAAACCGAAAGCCCGAGCCTATTGCTGCAGCCAGAGCATACCTTCGATGGGCATGCCAAGACAGAGTCGGTTGACAATGGTCATTCACATTGTGTATACAAATCTATATACAATGTAGTAGTGCATTATATCGTATTGCATTGTATTAAATTAGCATAGATTAGACTTTACTATATATATATATATATGCTATGCTATACTATACTATGCCATATTATACTATCTTTATTCATTTTTGCAAATTAGATGAGATTCGGTCAGACTATACTATACTATACCGTATTGTACAATCGATTGCCATATGACATCACACTGTATTCTGCTATATAATGTCATATTGTATGTTGTTATATGATGTGATATTTTACTATATACAAAGCACGCGCATCTAATGTATGTATATATCGAGCTCTCTCTCTCTCTCTCTCTCTTTCCCACCTTCTCTCTCTCTCTCTCCCACCTTCTCTCTCTCTCTCTCTGTTTGATAGATGCTTTTAGATTATTGTTGTGAGTCTCAGAAGCCCAGCGACAAGGAGGATGCTGAGGCCAGACTACTCTGGTCGAGGCATTGAACGATTGCATAATCATACTTCAGCTTGTATGTATGAACTGATCCATGCACATGCATCTGTGTGCGTGTATGTCTTTTCGTGTGTCTGCACACACATACATGCAAACCTGCACCGATCTTACTTGCCACGCAGGAAGATGCGGCATAATTAAGCCCAGAAGTTTGCACCCCAAACATGACCCCAAACTCTTCGAGAGACCTCTGCTCGAATCATACCCCTCGACCCTCCAGGCTCCAGCCCTTCATTTTGTCGGTTCATAGAAATGTAGTCAGTACAATGCCTACTTACATCCGGGACAGAAGCCTTCAAGCTCTCAGTCATCACCACGAGAACCTTGGTACAGCAAGCTACATTCTGCAACCAAGCCGCGCTCTTCGATCTACCGGGGAGGCGATGGAGAGGACAGCCTGTTTGTGGTTTCTAGGACTCAACAGATCTGAATGGTGAATTCAGTGGGTTTGAGTCCCAGGATGAAGATTTAGAGTTTCAGGCTCGACTTGGGTTTGGGGTTGAGGGTCTAGCATTCTGGTTGGTGCTTCAGGATGTAAGCACTTGTGACTTGTCCTACTGCTTGTTCTTCTGCGGGGCATGCAACCTGCCGGGCACCAATGCGGTTGCAACTGCTTCAAATCATATGTGGCCACAGCCTAAACCTTAAGACTTGTGAAGCCGATGAAAGCAAGCTAGCAAAGCCCACCGAGACCGGAACGGAATGGAATGACAACGGTTTCGGGTTTAGGGCGGTAGCCCCAAAACCCCTTCATGACAGAATGCCCCTCAAAAAGCCAGAGGACACCCAGCGAAAAGCTATACAATTCGACCGTAGAGTAGATCTACTCGTTGAGGCCCCTGTGCTAACATGCCCACCTCTTCGAACTCCTTGAAGCTCAGCGCACCGTCCTTACCCCGATCATACCTGCGCGAGGTTCAAGGCTGTCTCGTTAGAGGCCCAGAGTCCAACGGCCAGGGCTTGGGGAAAAGGCTTCAGAAGGGCTTTAAGCGGCTTAGGGTTTAGAGGTTTAGGACGGAGGGTTCAGGCTCTACTTCTGGAGGCTGACAGGAAGCCAGGAACCTTGGAGGCTAGAGGCAGCTGAATTTAAATTTAATGGCGTGCTTGACGTCTCAGGCGCCATGGACGGTTCAACCTCCAAGTCTCAAACAGCATGGACTTCCACCTGGACCTCAAGCCTGAACCAAGAACCTCCTGCTTATAAATCCCTACCCCCTTTCCCCCCCCCCCCCCCCCCGATCCAGCCGCAAAACATCAAGCCCCTCAAAGCCTGCAACCGCTAAATTCTAAAACCGAAAAGCATCCCAAGCCAGCAGGCCTCGCAAGAAGAGCTCCAACTGCACGATCGAGCTCCTGCTGTCGGCATTTCAACAACTCGGGGTCCAGAACTTCTTTGGGTTACCTCTGCCCTGAACCCTAAACCCTCTTCAACAAGAGCTTTACCAACATACTGGGCCGGCTCCAGATCCGGAACCCTGAATCCCGCACTTACACCTGACATCCTAAGCCTGCCCTCTCTCAAAAAAACTCCAGAACCCTCAACCCCCAAGCCCTAATTTCAAACCTCCCAAACCCGTAAGGGCCCTGTAAAGACGCTTCCGCTGGGGTGGCTTGGGCTTTTCCTTTCCTCGTCCGTGGCGTGGCGGCCTTTGACCTGTCAGCAGTAGCTTCAAGGAAACACAAGGTTAGTAGTGTTCAGGGGTTCAGGGTTTAGGGGTNNTTTGGGGTTTAGGGGCTCGGGGTTTAGGGCTTAAGGTTAGAGGGCTTAGGGTTTGGGACTTCCGGTTTAGCTTACAACAGAAAGAACCGTTTGAACGGTTGCTACTCAGAGGCACCCTAAATGCTAAGCCGTCATCAGAGTACAAGGTTCGCAATGAGCTGCATATTGGCTTCTGATGAAATCCGGGCATTAGTAGGTTCTGTGATTGCAGGATTACGGCTTAGGCCATAGCAGGGTTGAAGTGGTTCAGGCGGCTTAAGGTTTACCAGGTTGAATGCGCCATCTGCGCATGTGAGCGTTCGCACATTGTGGCACCAAGGCAGAAAGATTTCTCCCATCACCAGGACGGTTCGATTTCCATGCAAGCTCCTGAATCCTCAAACCCGGCAGCCGGTTCTAATGCTAACACGAATACCAGTACTCATACTAACAGTACGAGTACTATCAGTACCCAGTAGTCCCAAGTGGGTCCCCCACCCTCACGAGAACTCCGAACTCCAAGTCTGGGGCTCTGTATCCATGGTTTTCGTCAAAAAACTGGGAGAGTCTGAACCAAACCAAAGCCCTAAACCGTAAGAGCTTGTTTGGGCTTTAGGGCTTCTGGCTTCCGGCAGTACCTCCAGGGTAGAGGCGGCGTATGGTCTACCTGTAGTCTCCATTGTAGTTCCTTTTTGGGGTTACCTTTTGGGGTCCTTAATATAAATTTGGTTAAACCAAAAAAAGGAACTACATTGGAGACTATAGGTAGATCGGAAGCATGAAGAAGTCATCCGTTTCTCCGCTCTTTTTTTTCCTCTGCGCACTCCGCAAGAACCTAAGTAGGGCCAAGGCTGGCCTCCAACAGCAAAGAAGCAAACAAACAGGCCCTGTCCTCTGCCCAACCGCCAAGCTGAGGGGTGAGTCGCCTCTTCTGTTGGTCCGGAAAATATCGGAACCCGCCTGGCGTAGCAAACATACGATTTCCTCCCGACCAAAACGGCACGCCACACAGAGGGGTGTCTCGCCACTGTTGTCAGCCTGGTCTATATTGAGCCCAGCGCCCAGCAGAAAGCGAACGATGTCTGTGTTTCCCCTGCACGATGCCACCCAAAGAGGCGTTTCACCTCGGCAGTTACATCTGTGTTTGTCCGCGCCGGCCTCCAGCAGCAACTTCGCTATGTCCACGCGGCCATTTCGCGAGGCAGCCAGGAGAGGCGTGATGTCGTGGCGCCGGGCGCCATAGTCCGCATCAGCGCAAGCTTCCAAGAGGAGGCGTACGATCTCGAGATGCCCACGCTCAGAGGCGTAGTAAAGAGGCGAGAGACCAAGAGTTGAATCGACTACATTTGGGTCGTGGCGTTGCAGCAACATCCGCTCAATTTCCGAGAAGCAGCCAAAGGCTGCAGAGGCTGCGAGCTTGTCTTCATCATATTGCGAGGTCTCAGCATAGGGGAGTAGAACCAGCTGAACGTCGGAAGTCTGCAACATCTCAGAATCCTGCAAGACAGCACCGCCCTTACAGAGGAGCTCCTGTCTGAACCTCGGGAGCTCCGAGAGGCTGTGGAGCCGTTGCTTCAAGCTCCTCACATCCGATAGCTCCTCCGTAGGGATAGACGCCACCTCGGAACCCGAGACCATCCACACGTGCAGCGTCGACGATGCCATGGCTGCCGGAACGAAGTCAACGTCTCAAACGCAACCACATCAAATTAACCAGTTAGATAGAGAGCTAGATAGCTAGATGAATAGCTGGATAGATCGGTAGATAGATAGGTAGAAAGATAGAGATAACTAGATGTGACATCCGATTGCGTGGCTTCACCTACCCTTCTCATGAAGTGATGGTCAGGGCTTGTCGGTCCCTCAGCCTGCTGTGAATCTCGACGGCCATGTGGTGTGAGAGATTTACTTCCGTGACTCAGACGAGGATAAGCGGCTTTCGCACAATCTTCGCCCGAAAAATAAGAAGAAAAGCAAGGGAAGATCCTCGCAGCAAAGACGTCTACAACAATCGTGTCCCTGTAGAAACTCATCCTGCAACTGAAACTCCCTGCTAACCGTACTCGTGGGGTCTGTTGGATAGACCCTACTACAGGGCTTCTCAACCCCCAGCCCTACAACGAAGATGTCGTGAGCCATGGAGTGCCTTGGAAAGCTTGAGGTCCTGGGTTTTTCCACGGAAACGAGTCGCGGAATCTCGATCCCCCCCACGCTTTAGCTACTTGCTCGAACGTGGTTTCTCTGTTTTTCGTGTCAGGGCCGCTGAAACGCGGCACCGCCTCGCAGATCTTGAGCCCTGATGACTTTGCAAAATTGTAGCCGGTCGATGTATGCGAATGGGAATCCCAAAAGCTCGCCAGTTTCCTTTGACATGACGTCCTGTCGGTATCTCAACGCAATCATCTGGCCTCAGCGATCAATGCGCGAAGCTCCGCGAAGCAAAGCGTGCCTCTGTGAGTCGAGCTGTCAAGACTGATGGAAAGGATCTCAACCCAGGGAGCCTAAACCCCAAACGCCTCCTTATTTCTCCACAGTGTCACAACAACATTGTGTGTTCTGAGGCGCTTGATGTCCTATGGCCAGCAACGCCTGAATCCCGAACAACACCTTCTTTGACTCTTTAAGAGCAGTAAAGTCCTTTAAAACCCTGGATGCCCCGCAGTGCCGCACTCCGCGGAGTGAAAGGCCTGAACAGCTCTCCAAAGTCCGCAAGCCCTTCAAACTCTGAGAGCATGGGATCCCAAGGCTAACACCCGACTCGTCGATATCGAGGCGGTCGAAAGCTTTCCGTAGCTCCTCGAAGTTCGAGTTTTTAGGGCTTTGCGCTTCGGGGTTTGAGATTAGGGGGTGTGGGCATAGAGATTCGGGGTTTTGATGACCTGCCTTTAGATCGGCTTGACAGGGCATTCGAAAGTTCTGAAGCGTATACAGGCTTCAAGGGCACCAACCGTTCTAATGATGTAAGGGTTCTCAGGCCTTGAAGGGTTAATGTAATAATTAGGGCTTGGGCGACAAGCGTTGAGGTGCCTAAACGGCACTGGGAGCTAAGTGGTGTAAGGATTCGATGCGGGCTTATGCTTCTGTTGGGTGTTTTCTTTGGCTCGTGGCATTTGATGCGCTTGGGGTGTAAGGTGTGTGGCTGCTAAGGCTCTTTTTTCTGCTGTCGTAGGGCTTGCGGCTTTCGTTCTCAAGTTCTTCAAAGCTTTGCCGAGAGCTTTGGAAGAGGTTTAACATTTAAGTGCTTCCAGGAATAACTGTTTGTTGTCGGAGGGATTCAGTCTTGGCTGCCTGAGGGCTTGAAGAGGGAAAGGCTCAAGCGCTGGTATGTTTAAATTAGTGTTAGGGCGATACGGCCCAGGTTTCAGGGTGCGCGGACATGCATGCTCCACATATGATCGCAGGGTCCAAAGATGCATGAGCTGAAGAAGCTGCGCAGCAATGTCGGACTGACTATACACTGTCGGCGGCTGCTACTCCCCCCGCGAGATTGGCACCTTCCGTGAAGCACGATACCAAGAATTTGTTTTGACTTTCGATCAAAGCCGCAACCGAACGCTACAGCAAGACCCGAGCAAACTGCCCCAAGATCCCCCGTTCTCTGAACGAGCTCAGCCCTTGAAGCCCGCTGATGGCGGTCATGCGGTTGCGATGAAGCCACCCGCAAGGCCTGCACAAATATAAAATGCCCAGGCTACGAACCTGTGCTGCAGACGCACGTGAAGCTCGCTTGTGTGAATGATTTCCAAAGATGGTGGGGCGAGTGGGCAAGCTGTCGCCTTGCAGGCCAGGGTGACTGAATGGTTCGTGTCAAAGAGCTCACGCTGATAATCACTGACCCATTCTCTTACAGAAACGGGCTCTTTCCTTAAAAAAGCCGTGCAAAACAAGACCTACCAGAAGACCAAAGACCCCGAAGCGGCTCCGATCACCGACAACCAGCACGCCTCGAGCCTAGACCGGACTTGCTAAGGGAGTTTCATGTGTGTACTAACATGTGCTAACATAACAGGGAAAGCATGATGTGTTGCATCATGTACGCTTGTTATTATGGTATCCTAATCGTATATGATTACAGAACCCTGTCACATCTCTGCCACAGATTCGGACAAGAACCTGACGAAGCCGGGTTCTTGGCGAGAGATCAGTACAGGAGTCCGGCCTGGATGAAGTTGCGCGGCGGGATGATGAGCGCCAGCTCCTAGCAGTGTGACGATGAGACAAACCACTAGGCCCCTCGGCTTTCTGAGGGTTTTGGGGCTTGTCTTGCGCAGTTCAGAATTTCAGGGCTTAGTCTCAAGGCCTACGCAGGGTCTCTCTTTTTTCAAGGCGTGGCCGGCTCGGGACAGGGCATCTCTATTTCTGGAACAACCCTAGTTAAGCCGCTCCCTCACAAAAAACCTAAAGAAAGACAGAACAACACGTAAATGAACCACAGGAGAACCCTGCCTTCGACGCCTGAAAGCGCGAAGCAGAATCCCTAGAACCCTTTGGAATGTCCGCTACGTAGCCGTCCGAGAACCTTCATAAGAACCAGTTTACGGACCCTTGTAATCAGTTCCCCTGTGCATTAAACACCCCCCTTGTAATAAAAACACATTGGGCCCAATCCTCCCGAAAATCGTCCCTGCCCTTTAAAACCTATTTTGGATTAGGGGGGTTAGGCTTAAAGGTTGAGGGTTTAGGGTGAGC